TTACACATACTGGAAACACAGACCGTTTTCTGGACCAAGGTTTACAAACCATAGATTACACAACAATCCAATCATTCGTTCGTTCCCGCCCAAGCTGTGATGAGAGAAGGAGGTCAGGCAGAGTCCCTCGTTCGTAGTTTACAACCGTGTATTGAACGGTTTCAAACCTAGTTATATAGGTCAGGCAGGCCCGTCTCTTAATTTAAGCACCTGAAACTTTGACACAGCGACCTGACTGAACTCATACATCACATATTTACTGAGGTGTAACCGTCCTTTGTGCAGAGAGGCGCAAAGTTGTGATGCTGTAAGCGTTGCTTGTTGAAATAGAAATATAAGACTCGGCCGAGTGTTGACTGAAGAACGAAGACCTTCCGCTTACTGTTGATATTTGATATTGGCTGAAGTAAGGGATATAAAGATACACCTCGCGGAAGCAAGGACCGACGTAAGGTACATACATACTTTTCGTTTAAAATAAATATTCCCAGAATTTATTCCTAATACTAATAATAAATAACTACGAAGCAATCAGTAATAATAATATCACAGGAAGGAAATAGTGATATATCGATATAAAGGTAGATTAAATAAAGGTAGATTGCATTACGTTATAGATTTATTTAGCACTAAGATTATCAGTATGCGACTATGTGTAGTAGTAGGGCTGTAGTAGGTTATATATTACTTGTAAGTTCTATGTATGTACAGGTTTCAGATTGTGATACTGTGATACAATATTATTTAAATTTAATAAAATATAAAAAGAAGAGCTATTCTCATTTATAGCATAGACTAGAGACTTGCCAGATAATAAACTTCTCAATGATCATTTTATGTTTTAATTATGTATGGTCGTTTTGACAATAATATTTTTGTAAGTTTAATACATTTATTAAATTTAAATATTGTTTATTAATGGTTGTCACATAGTCATAGCATTGAATTAGTAATAATTACAAATTAAAGTAATATTATTAATTATACACACATTTTATAAAACTGACTTAATATTTGCTAACTTTTTTTTGCCTTTAGTAAGAAAGCAGAAGTGAGATAGATATATTATTAAGATTATAAGATTAGTATTATTACAGAATTAGTTCTTCTTCTTATCTGTTCTGCCCTCCTCCTCCTTCTTATTCATTTAGTCTTCAAAGAGATCATGGGTTTTAGTTTTTCAAACAGACTCCTACCGCCTTTCTATCTTCTGGACACCAGAAGGGAGCAGAAAATGGAGGACCAAGAGAGATGCTGCATAGAACCGTCATCAGGAAAGGCTCAGCTATAGGTCTAATAAAACAGGTGGCAACAAACTGCCAGACATGGAGAGCTATGACCTCTGCTGCCACATACGCCACCCTAGGCTCAAGAGAAAAGACTCACTAATTAACTAAAATGTTGGCACTCTTAAAAAAAACCCGTCCCAAATTATTCACCGCGAAAAACATCCCTTTGAGGGCCTCAAGAGGTGATGTAGTAAAAAATATGGAACAGGAATAACTAAAATATAGAAGCGGAATACGTACCATTTGAGACCAGTATTCGGAAGAGTGCCAATTTAGGATGAAATTCTTAATTTTTTTTTTTTTAATTTTTGTGTGTCCTTTACAGGACGTTGAAAAACCAACCCCAGCATTATTTTGCAGTTGTGGTTTTTACAGGCAAATTTTACATTCAATAGTTTGCCATTGCTTCCTGAATGGTCAGCACTCGGTATCAATGTCGAAACCAATGCAAGACAAATCATCCGCCGCTGGTATCAAACCAAACACCCCGGCATTACCAAGCATGTTTACAATGCCTAAGCCACAGACACAGACTGTAAATATACACAATCTGCCGATGTGTATGTTTGTACAGCATTAGGGAGCAATCAAGGAAGCATTTTGAGCTAGAAAAGAAGAAAACAAATGACAGAAGCAAAATAGTAAAGTCTGGTTGAAGGAAGAGATCACAGCAGTGAAAGATAAATACACTGCTATACAATAGATACAAAGCCAAAGGATAACAAGACTATTCTGAATGTACAATTGTTAAAAGATATTCATTCAGAGGCCTAATCAAAAATACTTAAATAAGATGTTTAGATTACAAAATGATCACATAGAATTTGCATGTGAATTTTTTTGTCTGATATGGACAATCGTTTTTTTCCCCAGAGTTGATTGCTTTTGTTATGCTTCTTATATCTCTGTAGCGTTCTTATCCTTCATATTTATTCTTCTTGTGCATTAGCCCATGTTTCAATCAGTGCTATAAGATTTCTCGGAAGAAGGCAAAGTGCAGAAATAACCATGATAAAAATCAAGAATGTGTTACTTTCAAACTGTTAATATATACTGGGCTTGTGACTATTTAAAAAGCCAAGTTTTTTTAGTATGTTCTCACCAAATGTTAAAATTAAGAGAATACATTATACTGTAGAGGGAAATCAATGAGGAAAGCCATTCACACAACAGGCATTGCTGGAGACTTCTTCTTTCTTCTTCGTGTTCACTGGCTGTAACCTCCGGTGGAAAGTTCTGGTTGTTCATCCACTTCTGAGCTTTGGTCTTGTTCCAGAACCTGAGGGTTGCATGTGCATCCATTTTACATATTTGTATGCAGACTGTTGGTTCTTTGCCTCACAGGCAGATGCACTATGGCTTCGAAGGAGTCCCCAAATAATCAACTCTTACGATATGCTTGTTGGGGGGGCAGTAGGTCTGTTCTTGTTTTCCCACATAAAGGGGCCCCAGAACCCACAGGGGAAAGATGCTCGAGACTGAAGCAATAAAAAAAAAAAACTAGTTTTGTGTGTGTATGTGAGATTCATATCTTTTCTGCAGTATTTGTTATTTTGGCCAAACACATCTGATTCCAGCAAGTTCCTAATTGGTCATCTTTAACCACATGCTTTTTGGGGGGTAGTGGGTCTATCTCTAACCCCACCCTCCCCCACCCCCAACATGTGGAAAATCATGTTGTGAGGTTCTAGGTAATGAGAAAATAACTGGGGAGTGAACAGTTTCCACACAGTGTTGCTTGAATGATTTGAGTGTGGATGAATCTTTTGTTAGACTGAAGACAATATGTGAATACAAATTTATGGAAGATACAGTGTTAGGTAAAACAATCCAAGATACAGTGTTAGGTGAAACAGTTCAGATACAGTGTTAGATGAAACAATCCTGATACAGTGTTAGGTGAAACAGTCCAGATACAGTGTTAGGTAAAACAATCCAAGATACAGTGTTAGGTAAAACAATCCAAGATACAGTGTTAGGTGAAACAATCCAGATACAGTGTTAGGTGAAACAGTCCAAGATACAGTGTTAGGTGAAACAGTTCAGATACAGTGTTAGATGAAACAATCCTGATACAGTGTTAGATGAAACAATCCTGATACAGTGTTAAATGAACAGTCCAAGGTACAGTGTTAGATGAAACAATCCTCATGCAGATTCCAGGGCCCCATTTTGGTAGGAAAAAAGAACAAACCAACTGTCCTTATCATGCATGTCATAGAAGTTTATTAATTAGGAAAGTCTGGTTTAAAGTTGCACTGCATCTGTCTAGAGGTGAGAAACCCACAGTCTGCATACACATTTGTAAAATGGATGTGCACACAGCTCAAGTTCTGGAACAAGACCTGTCCTATGTTGTGGGGGTGTCACGCTTAGTGAGCGGCCAGCAACACGTATTTTACTCATTGTTGTCAGCAGCCGGCAATATTGCATGTTCTGTGTTTCATGATGTGAGCACTTTTAACAGCTCCAAAACATATAGAACTGACTCTAACCCCAACCTCTCTACCCGACAGCCTCAGCCTATGTCCCAAATCTGCATGCAGCCTAGGTCGCACAGTTGTATGCAGCATATATTATAGACTGCATGCAGTCGTGGGACGCAGGCTAAGGCTGTGGGGGGCGGGGGGGATGGGTTAGGGTCTGTTTTGGGGCTGTTAAAAGCGCTCACATCGTGGAATATAGGACACACAATATCGCCGGCCCCTGACAACACTGTAAAATACTGGCCGCTCATTAAGCATGACACCCCTACAACAGGACAGGCCCTGCGACACAATGAGGCATGAATGGAAAGGGAAGTCACTCACTTTCTGGGGCAAAAAACGTAAATAGAACCAAATTAACAACTCACATCACAGCATGCTGGACATAATCGTAAGTATCCTGTCCCCATCTTCTGCAGCCAGCTCAGAGTTCCAATTCTGATAATACACATAGCAGTGGGTGTCTGTGGCTTAGGTGTTGTGAACACGCTTAGTGGGACCGGGGTGCCGGGTTCGATCCCAGCTGCAGGTGGTTTGTCTTGCATTGGTTTTGACAGTGGTACCGAGAGCTGACCGTTCATAAAGTAATGGCAAACTACTGAACGTAGAATTAGCCTAGAAAAACCACAACAGGTTAGGTTCGGCAACGTCATGTAAAGAATACGCAACTAATTTTTTAACACAGCAATCTGATTGTGTATCCATCTTGTATGTCTTCTGAATGTTGTCAGCCACATACTCTGGTTACTCAAGGCTGCACCATTTTCTTCAGAGAGTAATATCTGTTTGGGCTTCGACACTGTTCATTCATCCTCTAAGGCCTTGACTATGTCTAGCTTGTCACATATTATTTTACCACCAAGTGGTGCAGAGCTAGTCGGTCTGTCTGACTGTTAATTTCCCAGCACACTTGCCTACCTGGACAAAATATCCAAAGGACATTAAAAATCCGGGACCTCTGTTGCTATGCTTGCCAGTCTGCGCGGAGCATACCTTTTTTCACCTTTCTGAGCATGTTTTGTAATCAGTAATTAGCTAGATAAAGAGAAAAGGAATTTCCCACAGCATAATAATAATTTAGTTTATTCTTTATAGCTTGATACACCAGATGTCTCCTATATTTGTTCAAAATGCTTCTTTTGTCTTGAAGCACTAATAGTTATTTGTCACTTAACTTCATACAGGAACACTCAAGTGTGTGGCGTTCATGATCTAAGTCAGCAACATGCCGTTTAGCGACGCCGAAATTGAGCTCCGTGATTTCAGAAATGACCTTGATCAGGTATGTGTTTAATTGAGGAATATGTAATTATTCTAAAAGATATGGTTCATCATTGTGTGCCCTGCCAGTTGGCGTAGGCGCTCATGCATCTCCACAGATCACGATCCTTGGTTGCCTGGAACATCTCTCTTGATGATGCCATGGTTTCAGCCCATCCAGCATCATCTCTCTTGGTCTGCCTCTACTCCTTTTTCCACTGATCTTTTCAGTTGTCACAATGTTCTCCAGTGCTTCTCTTCTCATTACATGGCCAAAGAACAGTGTTTGTCTCCTTCTTATTGTTCTATGTAGAGATCTACTTTCATTAGTTTCTTTCAAACAATCATTGTTATTTACTCTGGCCGTCCAAGGTATTCGTAAAATTTGTCTCAGAAACCACATCGCTGTTGCTTCCAAATTCTTCTTAATTTGTTCAGTGACATTCCAAGATTCGCTACCATACAGCAGAACATGTTCTATGTAACATTTTAGCACTCTCTTTCTAACATTAAATGAGAGCAATTTATTGCATAAGATTTCATTTTCTGAAATGCTGCTTTTGCTTGACCTATTATTCTGTTTTTAATTTCTCTGGTTACTCAAGGCTGCACCATTTTCTTCAGAGAGTAATATGACACACATTTTCCATCTGATGATACGCTTGTTCCCAGATATTTGAATTTGCTGACTTGGTTAAGCCTTTTTCCTTCAGATGAAATATCACAGTGGGGTGTTATCTTCTTCTTTTATATAACCATTACTTCCGTTTTCTTAATATTCAAGGAAAGTCCTTTTTTAGTACTCTCCATACCCACAATATCCAGCAGTTGTTGTAAATCAGTTGTTTTTTCAGCTATCAAAACTGTAAATTCCAGAGAAATTTGACTAAAAAGTCAAATTTCTCTGGAATTCATTGTATTAGCTTGACTGCAGTCACCCCCATAGTTTCACCAAAACTGTATAGTCTGCATAATGCAAATTCTTTATATTGTGAAAGATACGGTTGCATGAAACATTTAAGTTAATTCAAAACAGTTTTTTAAATAATGAGATACAAACGATATTTATTGCACAATTAATTTTCTGGCATATGTTTTACTGTAATTGAGAGAGTTGCTTGCAGTAGAGTCATTATTAATCGACGTCCCCTTGTGGGATGCAATTTTTCATTATTTTGAAGCCCCACCCTGGGGCCGCAATATAGCCCATATGGGCAAATGGCTGAATGCGGTTTCCGGGACCTCTCCACGGGTGATCTTTATCCGCATGGTGGCACTTTGTGTCATCGGGTGTTTATCGCTTGTGTGATGTCCTAGCGGGGTAAAATGTACTACTGCTACTACAGTAGAGTGGAATGGAGGAATTGATTCTGAGCCTTGTGTGACACACAGAGGAAGATGATGATGATATGTTTTAATGTGGAAGTTAAGAAATTATATAGGTAAAACACTTGCCTGTTAGCCAGAAGCACCTGGGCTCAAATCTGGGTTGAGTCAGCATTTGAATGTTTTAAATTAACCATGGCTTTCAGGTAGATCCAGCCTAGACTAAAGGTACCAGATAATTTCCTTTGAAATAAAGGTGGCCGGCTTATGTTGACCACATCATCTACAAATGCTAACATAAAAAGGGTCTTTCAGTTTTATTTTTTTATTTTACTGCATCTCCTACAGGGAAAAATGCTAGGCAATATATTGTGTTCTCATTGTTTTAATTTCAAGTGATTGTCAGTGTACCATTTGCTTTCATTGTCTCTGTTTACGTACTCCTTGTTTCATATTTTAATGTGAGACCGGCCTCTTCTTGTTGGCTTTAACCCTGTACCATGAGAAGGCTAAGTGTAGGCACTTCTCGGCTGTAACAGTCCCGCAAATGCAGAAATATTGGTCAGTCTGCGGTGACCTGTTCTCAGCAATCATAGTTAAATTCCAAAGGTTGTCTGTCTGCCTGCACAGTGTTTAATAGGTCAAGTTATGTTGTGTTATTACATTTGATGTCAATGCACATTTGGCATTACTGTAAGTGCTCAGTCTTCTGAAACAGCAGCCACTCCAAGGTACCTCTACTGTTTGTTCCCATGAGGATCTGGTTATAGTGTCTCATATTTCAGCTTCGAAGGTGGCATATAAATGCTTCTTCATGCTTTATTCCCATGTAAGGCAATCATGTTAGTGTGAGAGATTCATTGCTATCCACTAGCCTAGTCCGTACAACATTGACGATATATATCTGCTCTGTTCATGCTTCTTCCTGCATGTGTTTGTACATTGCTTATCAGTTGGTCCACTCATTCACTACCTTTCATGCTGGCATGGTCAGGTGTATAGATCCAGGTGAGGGAGATTAAATGCAATTTCTGAACTGGAGCATACCTTTCCAACAGTGTCTGTGCTAAAGTTTTTGTATCCCAGAGCAATAATTTGTTTTTAATCTTATGAAGCTGAAAAATACAGCTTTGGGAGAGGAGGTGTTATAATGAAAACTGGAAATTAAGAGGTTAACATATATTTAAAAAAAAAGATAGTAAAAGTAAAGAAATATGTATGGTATATGGTGTAATCAATGAACATATAGTAAGTTCTTTGGTATTTAAAGAGATAAGAAAAGTATAAATAAACTTTTTTAAATGCTATTGGCACATCATATGGTTATAGACCCATATTTTTTATGGACCAGTCAAGATTCAAGGGAGATGTTTTCAACGTCATACCAGCCATATATAATTTTCAGGATATTTCTGGGGTTTTTTTTCTGGGTTTTTATGGCTATTTTAAGCTGTGTCTCCTCCTGGCCGTGGTGGGGGGGGGGGGGGGGGGGGGCTTGTGTTTCTCAATGACCCTAAGAGCTATGCCGGCGGGTCAAAGGGTAGAGAACAGACAAGAAAGACACCCTGGTCCTCCAGGTTGGGGGTTGAAGTGTGGGACTGACATGCCCACCTTCGCAAAACTTCATCTCGTCACGAAACAAATATCTAAGCCTCAATTTCTGATGGATTTAAATGGACAATGAACCTGGAACGTTAAAGGACTATTTAGATTTGGAACATGGAATGTACGACCAGGGAGATGAATGGTCATAGACCACAAGGCAGACCAAGAAGACGATGGAGAGATAATATCCAGACAGATCTGCAAACACTTGGTGTCACCAACTGGAAAGAGAAGGCCAAAAAGAGAGATGAATGGAGGCCGGTGACATCTGTAACAATGAACCTCAAGGGCTCGGAATGCTAAAGAAGAAGATTTTAAGCTGGGTCAACTTGAGTGCTCTAGGTAATATACAAAAATCTTCCTCAAAGCAAATTTGAATTTTCCCTAATCACTATAAGATTTATCTCCAGTAATTTATGTTTTGCATTTGAATATAAATGTTACAGACAGGTTCTAAGAATATCTTGGGTAAAGAAAAGAACAAATGCATCCATACTTCAAGAGCTGAATATTGAAGAGGGTTAGCTAGTAAAGACAATAAAACAAAGAAAATTGAAATATTTTGGTCACTTGAAACGTCATGGAAGTCTAGAGAGAACAATAATGGAGGGGTATATGCCTGGGAAGAGAGGAAGAGGAAGGCCAAGGAGAAGATGGGTGCAGGATGTGGCAGATGATCTCCAGATGGGTGTATCAGACGCAGGACATCTTGCTCAGGATAGGAAGGTTTTCCGGAGGGTTGTTATGGCAGCGAGGTTCCGTGAGGGACATGCTACTGAATGAATGAATGAATTTATGTTTACTTCTTTTGTTGACAGAATTTCAAGCCTATTTTTGAAAAGGTAAGTGCATATAACTCCTAACAATCTTCAAGATTTTGTACAAGAGTATTTTTCTCTTAGTTTTAATCTACGGTTAAAGAATAAGGGTTAATTATTTTCATGGTTTTAAAAAGTATACTGATGTTATGAAAGGTTTATTAAACATATATAATGGAGGCAAAACAGTACAGTAATTACAGTAGAAGGTATTTTATAATTAAACAGCAAAATATTGTTTCTAAACTCTGATTTCCAGGCCTTCTATTATGAGCAATAAACCATACGTTTTTAGTATTCCATTGATAGTTTATGATTATGCTTCATATGCTTAGCCAGAAGATAAGTATACCACTTTTCCTTTTAGCAGTATAGATCTACAAATGTGAATCATAGACTGTCAGCTGATTAGTAGTACATTATGTCATTTTATTGTATGCTGATGAAGTCTCTATTGCAACAAAATTGTTTATTTTCAATTTTTTATGCACTGCTTTGATTATAAGTAATTATTTAAAAAAATAAGCTGTGGAAATGATATCACTATAGCCAGTTAGTCAGTCGACATATCATGCTCAGTGCCCATTGAACCTCTCAGTCCATATGTGCTCAGATCCAAGATTCAGTAAATCTCTCAGTGTTTAGTAGCCGATGACACCAGTTGTGTTTTGGTTTATTATTATTATTTGGTTTCCTGCATAAGGCATATTTTGGTCATATCAAGCGCCATGGCGGATTGGAAAAAAAATATTAGCAAAAGGCATGGTGCCAGGAAAGTTGGGCAAGGGCCAACCAACATGAAGATGGGCACAGGAAATAAGTGACTCCTTGAAAATGAAATTACATGAGGTGGGGGAGAGACCAAGTTTCTTTCAGGCAGATCGTAATGAGAGCAACATGAGAATGATGCATAGGGCTCTTAAATGGTCTTAACCCTTTTTTTTAATCTGGTGCTCTTGCAGTCTGGTCATAGTTGCAGATGCATAGTCCTCTCTCATCTCTACAGCATATATGACTTCAGGTTACTTTGTAACCTTTGGGAGCTCCAGTATAACCTTACCTTTGAACTGGGTTTCTCAGATTTGTACCTTGTGTGAAGGGGGGTCTCATCTAAATAGTGACTCTTTGGGTCACCGGGTGTTAATCACTCAGTATGCAGTGCAAGCGGGGTTCAGGTTCACTAACTCACTCATCAGGTTCTCACAAATGTCTTGTGGAGCATTCAGTATATTAGCCTTGTCCAGTGGTCTGAAAATCACGGCTCGTGAGCCACATGCCGCTCTTTAGTGACCTGAGTGTGGCTTGGCCAGTAAACCACAAATCAGTTTTGAATTTGAAAAAAATGGTTCTTGACAGGTTTTTGAAGAGAAATGTGGCTCTCAACAAAATATTAATTGTCCTGCTGCTGATTTTTGACTCTTTGGACCAAAGAGTTTGCCCACCACTGGCCTAGTCCATTGCAGGGTCACACTTCACAGAAGCCTGTAAGCCTGCCTATCAGCCTAATTAGTAGTGCCAATATGGTGGAAGAGAAAGAAATACTGTCATTTTAAAAGATCTGAACATCAAGGAAGATTGGCTAATAAAAAGCATCTTGTCTCAGAAGCTGAAATATTTTGGTCATATCAAGTGTCATGGCGGATTGGAAAAAAATAATAGCAGAAGGCATGGTGCCAGGAAGGAGGGGCAGGGGCTGACCAACATAAATAATGGCACAGGATATCAGTAACTCCTTGAATATGAAGGCACCTGAGGCGAAAGAGCTAGCAAGAGACTTAAGTTTCTTTAAGGCAGACCATGATGAGAGTCACATTCTGCAAAAGACCTGCTACATGATGATATGTTAGAGTTTTGTGTTGTCGTTCTTTGCTTCTTGCAAATTCACAGATAAACATTATATTGTGAGAAAATTAAAAAACAAATATTGGATTGGTATTTTTGTGCATTGGAGTGCAGTGTTACTATCCTTTGCCACCCTAAGGGCTCAAGCATAGGGTCTCCTTAATTTAGAGTTCTGTTTATATTGAATGGACATGGACTTCCCTGTTCTCTGGGTAGTGAGATCGAACTCATGTAAAAAAAATCCCTCAGCAGTTGGAAATTGAAAATAGTAGCGTAACGGCCATGCCTGTGCAAAGTTTGGAGTTAAAAATCTACCCAAAGTATTTCAGGATCCTCGCCGGTGCTACAGAGTTTGTGCACTGCACTGAGATTCTTTGGACTCAGGCTTGGGTTAGAAGTAAGAAGTAGTACGGAGCACTTATGGGTTACACCTTGTGTCATAATGTTGATCCGTTTAATAAACAAACAAACAGACAGGGGTTGTGAGCCTGAGGATTTAGGGCCCCATGGCTAGTGCTGTCTAACAGATTAGCCTGTAAAAATCTACTAGCATTATATAAGACGCACATTGTTTTTAGATCCAATATTTTCTGGAAATAAGTGTATCTTATATTTGGCGAAATGCAGCATATTGTTATAAGGTTTTCTCAATGTGTGTTCCATCCAGTTCCATCATCTTTTCCTCACTTCTTGGTTCGTAGTGTTTATTTAGTTCTTTGCTAGAGCTACAAATTAGGAATCCTGTCACACCATTTAATTCATTCATTGACCATAAATTTCACAGCATGGACCAGAAGGCATTGGATTATTAGACCTTAGGCGTGAACTTGAGGAAGAAGGCCTGCTTGAACATTTAGGCAAGGATAGGTTAGCCCATCTTTTAAGTGCTGCTGATCAGGACAACAACATGCTGATAACTTACCGGGAGTTTGTCAGAATGGTATGTATGTATATATATCCTTATAGCTTTTGGAGTGTATGTAGTAATGTTTCATATGTCAGATGAGAATGGTAATAGATAGAAAGCATTCGGAAATCACACTTAACCTCCGTAACCTGGATCTACACACCGGGTCATGCGGGCGTAAAGGGAAATGAGCGAGCGGAGCAACTGGCAAGCACTGCACTAATGATTGCGGGAAAAAGCATGGACAGAATGGACGCTAGGCACGGCCACTTTTTTTTTTTTAGCTGTGGCAAATGTTTTGTTGTTGTTGTTGCTTCTGCTAGGCGGTGGCCATTGCATTTTTGCTCCATTTGTAGACTGGAAGGATATAGTTTCGTCGCCCAGTTTCTGAGTTGAGTGCATGGCATGACACTGTGAGCTACATGTGTTTTTCGTTGGTACAGGAGCGGAGTAACTATGGGGTGACCCGTTTGGTATGATGCTGAAACTAGGATTACCAGATTACCAGATTTAGTGATGTTTCATATGTCAAATGAGAATGGTATGTATGTATATCCTTATAGCTTTAGGAGTGTATGTAGTAATGTTTCATATGTCAGAATAGTGTATGTGTGTGTATATATATATATATATATATACACACACACATACATACATATACATACACAAATATGTTCTATTTCAGCATAAACACATAGATAAACACTGTCAACAAATTATTTTATATTTCATCTTCCTATTATGCTATGCCAGATGGCACAGGTGATCATGTTCACTGAAATCAGGTACATGTCTGCTTAAGAGACAGACTGGCAATGCAGCTGCTTAGGTGCCAACCAGATTATAACATGAAAAGTAATTTTAAAATACAGATTATGAAAACTAAGGAGAAATAATTCTTCCTCTTCCTCTTCTTCTTCCTCTTCTTCCTCTTCTTCTTCTTCTTCCTCTTCTTCTTCCTCTTCTTCTTCCTCTTCCTCTTCTTCATCTATTTCTTTTTATTCTTCATCTATTTCTTCTTATTCTTCTTCCTCTATTTCTTCTTCTTCTTCTATTTCTTTTTATTCTTATTCTTCTTCCTCTATTTCTTTTTATTCTTATTCTTCTTCCTCCTACCTTTCCTCCTATGCCTCTTCTTTTTCTACTTCCTAAGCTTCTTCTTCTTCCTCTTCTTCTTTTTCTGTCTCTTCTTCTTTTTCTTCCTTTTTTCTTCTTCTTTCTCTTCTTCTTCTTCTTCATCAACATCACCATTCACCCTTAAAAGGAAGGCTGCGATATCTGTGCCTTTCAGTCTGACATGTCTGATTTCAGCAAACTCCTAATTAGTTGCCTTTTGTGACATGCTTATTAAGTAGGTGTTGTGTCTGTTCTTGTTGCCCCCAAAATGGAGACCTCCTAACCCACACAGGTAAAAACCAAATTTAACATTATACTGCTAAAACTAAAATGGTAATTAACTGTAATTTAGTTGTGTTGTTGTAGGTGTGGCAGATCCTAACCCTAATTGACTGACTGCATAGTAAACACAAACATTTACATAAAAATGTACACACTGTATGTGTAACTTCCCTCAAAGGCTGCCTAAATGTGCTTCACCATGCTTTAATCCCAGGTCATGTCATTGCATAAGTGTCAGAGATTTGTCATTGTCCACTAAAGTCAAAGTACCACTAAAGTAAAAGTACTGCTAAAGTAAAAGTACCACTAAAGTAAAAGCACAGCTCAAGTAGAAGTACCGCTCAAGTAAAAGTACCACTAAAGTAAAAGTACCGCTAAAGTAAAAGTACAGCTAAAGTAAAAGTACCATTAAAGTAAAAGTACCGCTAATGTAAAAGTACCACTAAAGTAAAAGTAAAGGACTCTTTTCTATGCCATTAGGCATATAAAGCACATAGTACTAGAAATATATTTTATAGACCAGTTGACACTCGTTGGGGGATGTGATCAACATCACACCCACCGCCTTTACTTCAAAGGACTTTACTTGGTACCCAGTTTAGACTAGGTTGACCTGGGAGCCAAGGTCATTTATGAAAAAAATCTTACTCGGTGCAGATTTTAACCTACAACCTTCAGGCCCGAGGGGTACCTCAAGCCACTACACCTTCAGCTCCTCTTTATCCGTCAGTCTGGTTGTAAAGATGGGTGTTATGGCAGTGATTAAATCGCTCAATTAATGCCATTTATCCTACAAACTTGTGAAGATAGCACTGTATATTCTCTGTGTGTAAATGGTACCTTTACTTTACTCAAGAAACAACATCATAGCACTCAGGGCATTCCCATATGCGCCCCCTTCCCATCTTCCACAGCCAGCATAAAGTTATAATACCGATAGTGCTAATAAAGTCATTTATTCCGGTCTAGTGAGTTGACATGAGAACTGGCCAGGATAAGGAGTTTTGTAGATCATTGCAATTTAGATTCATTGCATTAGGGGAGTTGACCCCTTAAGTGTTTTTGATGATCGTGAGCTTACAGTATGGAGGCACTTAAGTAGCTTTTTAGTGGTGCCGTATGCAGGTTGATTGACTGTAATGCCAGGTCATGAACTGGCTCTGGCCTAATTAACCGCTAGTTTACTGAACACCACAAGTGTGGTGCAAGTCAGTGCAGCAGTAGCTGAAGCTACTAATGTATATGTGTGTGAGCATATGTGTGTCTGTGATGTGCTTGAGTGTATGAGGTTGCATGGTTGTGTCTGTATGTTTTCATGAGTGTGAATATTCGCTTGGGTGTGAACCTTTGAATGTTTGTGAATGTATTCATAAGTGTGAATGTTTGTATGTGGTGGAATGTATTCATGAGCATTAATGTTTGCATGTGTGTGTGAATATTTTTATGTGTGGGAATGTATTTATGAGTGTGAATGTTTGTATGTGTGTGAATGCATTCATGAGAGTTAATGATTGAATATGTGTGAATGTTTGCATGGGTGTGTGTGTTTGAATGTATTCATGAGTGTGAAGGTTTGCATGAGTGTGAATGTTTGTGTGTATGTGAGTGTTTGTATGTGTGCTATTGTATTTATGAGTATGAATATTTGTATGTGTGTGAATGTATTCATGATTGTGAATATTTTTATGTGTGGGAATATATTCATGAGTGTTAATGTTTGTATGTGTGTGAATGTATTCATGAGTGTGAATTTTTGTATGAGTGCATATATGTATTTATGCATTTTTGAACAACTTCATTTATGTATGTATATATACATGTGTGTATATATGCATGTGTGTATATATGCTTGTATGTATGTGTGCAATATGTAAGTATGCATCATGTAAGTATGCATTATGAATGTGTTCATGTATAAATGTGTTCATGTATAAATGTGTACATTTATAAATATGTATGTGTGTGTATGTGTGTGTGTGCATGTATAGATGCATGAATGTATGCTTGCAGTGTGTGTGAATCTTCGTGAACATGAATGTATGTATACAGCATCCATTTAACTAGGTTTGTGTGCTTGCATGTCTGTGCACATGTGTGTATTAAGTGTCTATGTGTGTGTATATTTGTGTCTATGCGATTAAAGATGTTTGCAATTAAAAGGGAAGACCCAATAAACTGTCACTTTTTTTATGAGTCAGTAAGTTATGAGCCATTGTTATGCAATTTTTTGCTACATCAACTTGGTTGATCCTCTTCTACCTTGCAGTTGTTTTTTTGTGTGTGTGTGTGTGGTTTTATTTCATTCCAGGGCTCTTTCAACCAGGGACTGTCGAATGTTGTCTTCCTAGTGATCCCTTGGTCACCCTGGTAACCTGGTTCTTAGCATCCCTTGCCCGCCATGGTGACTGATTTTCTCCCATTCTGCTTACATGTCCAAACCATTGTAACTGTGACTGATCCACTCGAGTTTGTAAGGCCTGGGTTTCAAGATCTTAACATATTGTCTGACTGCAAACTTTCTTATCACTTGGATCACCTTTCTCAGATATCTTCATTCTGAGACCTGAAGCTGGTTTTTATGAGCTGTTGTCATTGCCCACGACTCACTCCCATAAGTCAGGGCTGGCACATAGGTAGAGTGGTTAACTACTACATATTTCATATAATAATCAACAGATCCTATACAGAATTTTACTCTCTTTATGGCACACCTTTGAAGCTTTACTTCCTGTAGCCAATTCTCCAGAGCTGTGGGCTTTCATAGCCATCTTCTTGTATCACTCTTTTCCGAGTTTGGTGTCTCAGTTTCTGGAAACTTTACCCTTCATCACCATTCCCTACAGATCACTATGACGCTCAACACGGCCAGTATACCTCAGCCTTTGGAACAGGATGCTGTTTCATCTATCAGACCCTATAAGAAGGAAAATTGTACGCAAAATACAACATTCTTGCTTTACACACATAGGGTTGGGCATTGTACTGCATATGGAAGAAATTACAGATCTGTATGTTTGATTTCAGATGACCGAAGACCTCACAAGAGAGGAACGCAAGCCATTCCGGCGTGTAATGAGAGCAGCTATTGCAGATATCATTCCCAGGAGACAGCGGGAAGACTTTCTAGCCAACTACAACTGCTGCCCTCCTCCCCTGTTTATACCTCTGATTAGTGCAGCTGAGGTAGGATATTTTCATAATTAATCCAAGAGGACAGGGTGGATCAATTAATCAGTTTGTCCCTTTCAGGTCACTACTTAAAGGTTTACCATGCCATTCTAAGGTTTAAAAATCTCAATCCGGAAGGCAGACAAACAAGATAGATCCCAGATACCCCATTCAGCCTCCCGAGAAGTTATAATTAGCGCAACCGTAATGGTTACAGGATGTATGATCAGGGCAGTGTCTAAATGGCAAAATAGTGAAATCTTTCATTACTAGAAGGTTTCACAGGAGATGCCAAAGTGCAAAAATGACCATGATGAAAAAGCATGAATACATTACTTTCCTAGTGTCAATACACACAGTATAATTATATTAGAGAAGCCAGATTTCTTTAGTGAGTTCTGACTACATGTTATCATTATCATTGCAGTTTCCAGTTTTACCATAAAATATCGTTAGGACAAACAGTTTGTGATACATTGATTGATGGATATTAATGGCTATTGTCATTCTGTCTCAAAGTAGAAGGTCTTTAATGTCCCTTCTTGTCACTCGGACCACCTTTCTCTGAGGCTTGCTGCCCCCTTAACACGCTTGTCATAAAAGGCTACTAATTAATGTTATTTCCTTTGAGGTCAGTGCATCTGCCTGAAAGGTAAGATACTAACAGTCTGTAGAGAAATAGGCCAGATTTGTAATACATGTGTGCATAATACATGCAAAACTCGGGTTTTGGACCTAGACCAAAGACAAGAAGCAGACAAATATCCAGCATTTTGCCGTGGAATGTACAGATGGTGAAAGCTAAGGAGAAGAGAAGATGACAGACCGATTCAAGAAACTTACTTCACAATAACTTCATGGGATACAACAGTGTATTGCCACCTGCAGTGATGCACCAAGTCCAGTGCTTATACTTGTCAAGACCCATCTGCACCTCTTGGTGGTTATCCTAGAAACAGGTTCTTTATCAGGAGCTTGGCAAATATAAACAGAGTAGACCTTTCAGTTGGAGTTGGTATGCATCTGCCTTAGAGGTGAGGGAACCAACAGTCCTCACACCATAAGGCAGGTCTATAAAATGGATGTGCATGCAACAGTAAACCATATCCAGACACAGCCAACCAAACTTTTGCAACGGAGTTCCCACTTGGTGACTACAGAAGAAGAATGACTTCATAAATTGTCAGCACTGTTGTATTAAGAATAGACATCACAGCGCTCAGCACCTCATTTTCAGTAGCAAGTGCAGATTTCCAGTTCCCAATACACCAGTAACATTCCAATTGTATATCCATCTTGCCTTTCCCTTTATCATTGAACATTGGCCCAATCCCCCAGGTCACTCATGGCTGCACCACTGTTCTCAACCCATGATGATATATTTTATTAACACTGTTATAACTATATGGTTTCCAGGGCCTTTTTGTGGGGAAAACCAGAATACACCTTCTGCCTCCACAGCAACAATGTTGTAAGAGAAGACTAATAGGGAGCTTTCTTCAGAGTTGGAATGCATCGGCCTGAAAGACAAGGAACCAAATATCTGCATACACAAGATTTGTAAAATAAATGTGCATGTGAAACTCAAGTTCTGGAACAAGACTAAAGCTCAGAAGTGGACAAACATCTAAAACTTTCCATCAGAGTTTACAGTTAGTGAACACTAAGAAAAAAGAAAAATCATTATTAACAAATGTTTAGTAACACATGAACCTTCCTGACATCTTTCTCTCATAGATTGCTGTGTTCATCTACTACACTATTGTACTTGAGAGGAAAGGTATTGCGACGACAGCAACAGAAGGGGTGGATATGGAGAGTCCTCTTGTGTACAGAGCAAGCAGACGATATGAAGCCTGGAGGTTCATCTCATACATGTTCATGCATCAAGGGTATGTATTATGTTAGTTAGTTAGTTTAGTCGACAGATTATATACACATCGAATCATTCAGTCCACAAGTGCTCTGATCCCCTTCTCAGTAAACCTTACACCAGTAGCGGCTGACAATAAGTAAATGTCCCTATTCCATGCCCTTAGGCATTTGTTAGTTAGTTAGTTAGTTGGGTTATCGTCATTGCACTCCGGACATGTCCATAGGTGCTCAGATCCTCCCCTCAGTATGAACCCCAACGTCCGATAGCTAATAGTACCAGTTCTATGTTGATTAACAAGTCTTCTGACGTGTCCGGTGTGCGTCTCGTTTTTTGCTGTGCCGATCTTAATTCCCAAGTCTGCCATTCTGGCGAGTGATGTGGATTCACTGCCACCAAAGTCCTCTATCCTTCCCATTTCTCTGAGGGCATTGATAATATCAGCATGATCCATAGGCCGACCGTCGGTAGTGATAGCGGATCCAGCCAACCTGTCAGCTCTTTCATTTCCATCGACGCCTGCGTGTCCCGGAACAAAAATAAAGGTGACTCCACGCACAGTGAACTTCTGTAATGATTCAAGCCATTGTCTTCGCACTGAACCTGCCTGAACCCTCCGGATCATACTCATTGAATCACTGAGTATACATATGCGGGTGTATTTTTGTTTTTCAAGCCAGGCGCCCTTAGGCATATAGAGCGTGACCTATATTTTTATAGACCAATCGGCACAAGACGGGTAATGTGATCAGCATCTTGCTGGCCACCTTTACTTCACGGGACTGCACCCGGTACCCACTCAAGGCTGGGTCGATTTGGGAGTCAAGGCTATTTTTGAAAAGTCCAGCTCCACCAGGGAGCGAAGCTATGACCTTCCTATCCGCACATGAGCACCTAGCCACTACGCCCCCACTTACAGCCTAAGACAGTCCAAGTCAGCACAAAGAAACATCTCACACAAAGCATATTCATTCCCACCCTGTGCTACCAGTGCCAGACATGATCACTCACAATAAACCATACAAGAAAATTAGTAACTACAAAAATGAGATGTTTGGGAAGGGCTGCAGCAGAGAAAGTATCCATAATTGTGACTGAGTGGAGATAATAAACAAAGTATAGGTTACTGTAAGCTAGTGGATGTTGTGCATAAAGTAGGAATTATAGCTGTTAATTTGAGTTATTTTTGTTAATTTCTGTTACGTTTTTTCTTCAGGTATATGCACATCATTTTCAACATATTGTTCCAGCTTCTCTACGGCCTCTCTCTAGAGGTTGTTCACAAATGGTGGAGGGTTGGCATTGTCTATTTACTGGGAGTCCTTGCAGGTAATGGTTCTTTTAGATGCATTTGGTTGGGCTATCTTCAGTAGAATAATGTTGAAATTTCTTTGAGGCCTCAGAGATGTGCTTCTGCACAAGAATGTTGACATTTCCTTGAGACTTGACAAATGTGGTTTCACAATAGAATGGTTAAGATTTCTCAAGACCTCAGAGAAAGTAGTAGCAATGTTTCTTCGTTGTAAATTTGAAAAAAGAAGACACAAAACATAAATTGCACAATTCATTACCTTTGTATTTCACTGTATCTCGTCAGGTGCATACTACAGTAACAATTACATAAAGGAAGTAGAGAAGTGAATCTTTTATAACTGAAGTACTAATTCAACAACGGTCAAACATGACTGCCTGTTTTTACCAGGGCAGCCATAAAGTAAGAACCATATCTTTCTGTATACAGTAATCTGGTAATCCTAGTTTCAGCTTCATAGCAAACGGGTCACCCCATAGTTGCTCCGCTCCTGTGCCAATGAAAAACACACGTAGCTCACAGTGTCACACCATGCACTCAACTCAGAAGCTGGGCGACGAAACTATATGCTTCCAGTCTACAAATGGAGCAAAAATGCGACGGCCACCGCCTGGCAGAAGTAAAAAAAAAAACATTTGCCACGGCTAAAAAAAAGGTGGCTGTGCCTAGCGTCCATTTTGACCTGAAGCATTATGTGAGGGTTAATAAATGGTCACCCTAGCAGTACCCTCACTATTAGCTGGGGAAGGGACTTAGGACATTACATCCATCAGCAAGCGTCGCCCCTACAACGACCTGACTGCCTTCGTTAACGACTGTTCACCCAACAGCCATGCAGTTCTTTGGCACGAAGGAGACACCTTGAACTTGGGTTTTGGAATGCCGACTTCCTACAAAATGTTATTTTGTGTTTGATCTCACAATCGACGTAAATAAGTATTATTATCACAAATATCTATCATATTTCTGGGTTGTCAGGGTTGTTGTATTCTACTATCATAAATATATATGAATTAAAAATAAATTTGTATTTTATATACAGAGTGTGTAATTTATTCGTTGACTGCTTAAAATACCTATTTTGCCCAAGATTACTCAACGGTTGCTTATAAACAAATAGGGGCGGCCAGAAGTTGCTAGATGTTAACCCTGCCATCCTGAAGGTAAAATGTTCTAATCTACATTGAGGCAGTAGTAAAGATGGTCAAACCACATTACCCTTCTTGTGTTGAGGGGGCTAGACAAATATCTGGGCATGACTGGTGCAGCAACAAGGTCCTAACAATGCCAGCTACAGCATGTACGTGTGCCTTTTTGTATACAGCGTTGCTGGTACAGGTAACAAATCCAGGAAGCTTTAAGAAATCTGCCATTGATTTATCTATGAAGGATTTGAAATGCATTGTCCTTAGTTACTGTATGTTTAGATTTTAGTAGATGGTGTGCTATTGCGAAGGGGTGATTTTTGCAGCCAGTATTCTCATTTTGAATATTATTTTGCATGGCTTTTCCCACCCATATACTTTAGTATGTGCTCAGCGACTCATTTTTCCATGCGTCGATCAGTTCTACCCACATAAGCAGATTCACAGCTACATTTAAATTGGTAGATACAATTTGATCTGGCATACGTTGACACTGGTTGTTTCACTGATGGAGTTGGCATGGGGGGTAGTTTTAAACCTGATAATTGGCAAAGTAGCGTAGAAAATTTGGCTGACTGCTGTTTTGAGCCAGTTGTATAGCCGTTTCATATTGTCATCCCCTCGAAAGGTTAGATGTAGACTTGTTGTTTGGGGACTGACGTTTCTGTAGTAGTTGGTATTGGAGGCTGGCATTGGTGCTTAATAAATCCAGCTGGGTATCCATTTAATAGTAACGTTTGTTTCAGGGTTTCTAGTTCAGACTCTAACGTATCACTGGAGCAAATCTTTCTAGCGCGGGTAAATAATGTTCATACTAGGCCACGTTTGTAGTGGATTGATGCAACACTATTTGTCAGAGACCTCTAATTGACCCAGTGACAAAATCCTTGTGGTCCGAGTTCAAGCTGGAGGGTAGGCAGAAAAGCCAAATAGTTTCCAGATTTATGGTATCTATCATAGAATCAAGACCGAAAGGTTGCGAAATCCAAAGCACTGAACCAAAGGGTTTACAATTCATGGTTTCCGGATTTATACAAAAAAAAAAAAATCACCACTTATTTCTGATATCATAAGGGTTAACAGACTAAAACGTCTGGGGCATATACAGAGTAGGAGGCAGAACAAGCAAATAGTGGAGAGAGAATGTCCAGCAGACAACTGGAAAGAGAGGGCTAATCAGTAAGAAGCATGAAGGTGGGCAATATCTGCAGCAGTCTGCTTCAAGGGCTCAGAGTATGTTGAGTTGAGATGAGTCAAGAATTGACATCACAGCACTCAGGGCATTCCTCTATGCGCTCTGTCCCCATCATCAGCAGCCAGCCCAGTTAAGGTCTCAGAGTACTGAAGAAGGAGTACAATAAATATGTTAATCCTGTCTATAAAGAGACAGTGAAAATCAAAATTTTTTTCTGGAATAAAATGAAAATAATGTCCCTAAATGAAGATATACGTTTATTACCAAGCGGTCATTAGTTCAGTCTGTTTTTTCTATTCAGGTGGTCTAGCTCACTCAATCACTGACCACCATGTTGGCCTTGTGGGAGCTAGTGGAGGAGTCTATGCATTACTGGGTGCACACTTTGCAGCTATAGTTATTGTAAGTTGTTTCATTGCCTCTTTTTTCTTTGTTTTTTACTTTTCTATTTATTTCTAGTTCTCTGTTTGAACTGAGGAACTCTGATTGTGCAGTATCTTTTGATAACAGAATAAAGTTTTTATTAAGTGCACCTGAATGGATAAGTGGACGCTTCTGTGTGCCCTTTGCTGTTATCAAGTATGTTGCAGAGTTAGGTACTCACTTACCCTGCAACAAAAGGTCTCTAAAGGCTGAGGAACAAACACATGAGGAACAAACACATAAGGAACAAACACACGACAAACAGACACACGAGGAACAGACACACAGGGAACAGACACGAGGAACAAACACATGACAGACACATGAGGAACAGACACATGAGGAACAGACACACGGGGAACAGACACACGGGTAACAAGCACATGGGGAACAAACACATGGGGAATAAACACATGGGGAATAAACACATGAACAAGCTTTGTTCTCAGAGGGTTACAAACTGCTCACTCAGGCTCGTCTAAAGCCATGTGGATGTGGACTCAAGGGAAAAGTACCACAGTATGTATCCTAAGAAACTCATAGTGGACAGTTTCAAAGTATCACCTAAGAAGAAAATCTGTGCTTTTGAGCTTAAATGTTACATTAAGATTCATAGAATATCATGGACCCAGGGCAAAATTATGTAGAGAGACAACAGATCAGGGGGTTCCTGACATGTGTCAAGACTTACCACAAGATAGTTCATCATGGAGAGCCCTGTCACTTAGGCACAATAGAAGAGGACTTGAGGTTAACCATGGAAGCAATGAATAGATGGAATATCTGAGGCCTTAATTACCAGCATCTACCTAGCACAGAACAAGGCTCACACCTAATGCCTCTTAAAAACCTTATGCTGAAAAACAAAACATGGCTAAAGGAAAGAAAGTAGAAGCAGCATCTTAAAAGGAGCAGTAATGGAAGATATGATGGCTTATGGGAGAAGAGGCACAAGTCAGCTAGCAAAAAGGTGGAAACAGGATTCTGGAGACATCTTAGGCATGAAAATACATAATGCCCTTCTCCTCCTTCTTCTTCTTCTTTTTCTTCTTCTTCATTTTCCTCTTCTTTTTCTGCGTTCACCCATAAAAAGATAGATGGCCTGTTGTGGTTTACATCTAGGCTACAATATCTGCACTTTTTAGCCCAAGCATCTCATTTTAGCAGACTCCTAATTAGTTGATTCTTAATACCTACCTGCTTGTTATGAGGCAGTGCGTCTATATCCCCTCCCCACCCCTCTTACATCATCGATTCTGCAAATAAAGTATAGGAACTTTCATAGGTGTGTAATTCTGCAAAGGGTCAGTTATTTGAGGGTCTTTTCTTCATTATCATTCATTTGTTCATTTTATTCTTACTAGTTTATTTGGTAACATTAACACAACATAATTTCCCAGTGGAAAATGATGATTAGCCTGTTGCCACAGAACTGGTGGTGGTGCCTTATATGATTAATTGCATATGCATCTGATGATCTGTTGTAACTGCTGCTTCCTTTAACACTGAACTGCAGTTCTGATGGCAGACTGTTTTGGCATACTGATGGCTGCTTTGTGCATTTGATGCTTGTGTAAGCAGTTAGCTTTGCTAGGACTGCGGTCTAGTTTTATTTTTTTTCTTAAGAGAAAGTGATGGCTATTCTGTATGGTTTTCACTTGCACAAGAATTGTGTGCTGACCCATTTGCCATGTAGTTGGAACTGTGATTAACTGATTAACTTTACCAGTGCTTAAGCTGCCAAGCTCACCATATACTTTCTTATCTTTATCACTGTCAAGAATTGGAAAGAAATGAATTACAAGTGTTTGGACCCTGAGGAAATGGAAGACAATGCATGTTGTGGAATTTGTCGTGTACTTCTGAGTGCTCCAGTTAGAATGGCTATCATTCTTATTTTAGGTAAGTTACCTCCTATATCTATAAATTGACTATCATTCTCAATTTGGGTGTTACCCTCAGTATTTGCAGACTTGTTAGCATTTTCATTTTAGGTAATTTACTTCTTGTATCCCATACATCTTGGCATAATGCTGACCACATTACCCACCTAGTGACAGTTGGTCTCTAACAATATGGGTGCTCTTCCCATGTGCCCGATGTGCCTACAGGCGTGAAAAAGGATCTTAACTTTACTTTACTTTACACCATCCATCTAGCAGAGTTTGCATATACTTCATGGCTCATCATCATGTAGCAGATCCTTTGCAGAACGTCGCTGTCATCATGGTCTGCCCAAAAGAAATTTGGTCTCTCGACAGCTTTTCCATCTTGTGCACTTTCATATTCAAGGCATCACTTATATCCTGTGCACATCTTCAGGTTGGTTGGCCCCTGCCCCTCCTTCCTGGTAACATGCCTTCTGCTAGTATTGTTTTCCAGTTCGCCATGGCACTTGATATGGCCTCAATATTTCAGCTTCGGAGACAAGATGCTGTTTACTGGCCAAACTTCCTTGATCTTCAGGTTTTTTTAAATTGTCAGTATTTCTTTGCTTCTTTCTCCATGGTATTCTGAGAAACTTTCTATAGTATTTCAGCTCAAAAGCCTGCATTTTCTTTCTTAAGAACTGGGAGAGTCCATGAATCACATATGTATGCTGCTAGAGGAAAGATGCATGCTCTGAACATTTTAATTTTGCTTTCTTTGCTGGTGCTTAACCATAGACTTTTAATACTGTTTGATCATTGCATAAATTCATTCATTCATTCATGGCTGGTCATGATAAAAATTTTGTAAACTAGCTTTTGATGACTTTTCTTTCAGTCTCATTCTCAGTTTTAAAGTACTAAATAGAAGCTGTATTGTTGCATACATATAAATCATGGATGATAGGTGGACAATCTATGGCACATTCATTGTGGTTTCAGAAGAAATGTATTTTAAAAAAGAAATACTATGACCAGAATGAAAAAGTTATATCTAATAAACTACCTAATTTAAACAAAATGTTATATGTTTCACGTACTGCCTAATTAATACTAAATTAATGTTATGTCATCCATATAATGTTGATTTAGACAAAAATGTAATATTTTTAATGTACTTATTTAGATACAATGCAATAACTTCCATGCACAGTGCAACTTAATTTGGATACAGTGTAATTTTACACGTTGTATAATTAAAACAATCACAGTAAACAGAGAGAAAGATTAGATCAAGTAACAAGTTTCACCTGCCTTAGACAGGTAATAATTGATGATGCTAGAAGGGAACCAGAAATTTAAAAAAAACAAGGAAAAAGAAAAAGAATGGCTTTTAAAAATATCCTAAATAAGATGTGAAAATGATTGGCAGCTAGAGAAATACAACACATTAAAAATGAGCTGTGTCAAATTTTATGTATACTCTACCCTGCTGCATGCTTCAGAAACCTGGACAATGAATAAGCAACTACGCAGTCAGATTTAGTCTTTTGAGATGAATATTATTCATTATTGAGAACATCTTCAACGCACATTTGACATGACCATAAAGGCTCTGATCTCCCCCTGAGTGTGTCTCCAGGTGTTTTAAGACTAAAAACAACTATTCTGTTCAGGTTTTTGTAATGGTGGGTAAAGAAGAATAGGCTGTGTTACATGGGGGGGGGGGGGGGAGACAAAAATAACAGCAAAATACGCGGATTCTGAAGAGATTTGTAGTGAACAGTTAGTTGCTGGAAGAAATTAAAAGACAATGAAATATTTCAGCAAAATTAAAAGATACATCACTTTTTCAAAAATCATACTGGAGAGGAAAAGTCGAGTTTAGAGAGCAAAAGGTAGATAATGATACAAATAGGAAGACAACATCAAGAAATAGATAAACGCAGCCTGAGAACACAAAAGAGTACCTTGCACACTAAAGAAAATAGACACAGAGTAACATCTTCCTTGTACTAAATTATTTAGACACAAATAGAAAAACATCTTCCCTGTACTAAATAATTTAGACACAAATAGAAAAACATCTTCCCTGTACTAAATAATTTAGACACAGAGTAACATCTTCCTTGTACTAAATTATTTAGACACAAATAGAAAAACATCTTCCCTGTACTAAATAATTTAGACACAAATAGAAAAACATCTTCCCTGTACTAAATAATTTAGACACAGAGTAACATCTTCCTTGTACTAAATTATTTAGACACAAATAGAGTAACATCTTCCCTGTACTAAATAATTTAGACACAAATAGAATAACATCTTCCCTGTACTAAATAATTTAGACACAGAGTAACATCTTCCTTGTACTAAATTATTTAGACACAAATAGAATAACATCTTTCCTGTACTAAATAATTTAAACACAAATAGAATAACATCTTTCTTGTACTAAATAGTTTAGACACAGAGTAACATCTTCCTTGTATTAAATAATTTAGACGCAAATATAGTAACATTTTCCATGATTAGATTATCTTGTTGCTCCTACCAGTGATTCCTGACACAGCATTGGCTGTTTACAGAAGAGTTACAGCCCCTGCTGAAAATAAAATTGGTGTGACAGCCCACATTGGAGGATTTTTGGCAGGTTAGTGAGGGCACATGTTTATTTTTTTTTTTTAACAAAGTAAAAGTTGTGAATTTGGCATATGATGCTAAACTTTTATTTGCTAACATAGAGTATGAAGTTAGAGCACAGTGTATTAACTTATATGCCTTCCTGGTGTGTCTTTTTATCTTCATTCCTCTCCCCTATCCCTATTAGGTATGTCTTTTAGATCAACCCTTCGATACACACAAGTATAACTTTATCTCCGTTCTAGTATGACTTAATATACCAGGTCTGCAACATCTAGGAATTATTTCAAACACCAGCGTTTTCCTTAATCAGTGCTTTTGCTATTTCGCGTTGCCTTCTTTCCGAATGATAATGTTATAAGACTGATGTTCAACCTCACTAGAACGTTAAACCTAGAGATAAACACCCAGTAAGACAAAGTGCTACCACTCAAATGAGGATCACCTAGGGTTAGGTCCTAGAAATTCTGTTTAGCCCTTAGGTTGGGTTACATTAGAGCCCCTGGTACCAGCCGGAGTGGTGCTTTAAAACAAACAAAAACAAAAAATTGTGTCTGACATTGGGAGCACTAGAATACTCCTTCTTTGCGTTCACCAGCTGTAAACTCTGGTTGAAAGTTCTGGTTGTTCATCCACTTCTGGACTGCAGTCCTGTTCAGAACCTGAGTGTTGCCTGTGCATCTGTTTGACAGATCTGATACATTTGGGTGCAGACTTGGTTCCTTGCCTCTGAGGCAGATGTACTCCGACTTTGAAGGAAGCTCCAAATTAGTCCACTCTTATGACATGAGTGAGTCTATTCTTGTTTTCCCTATAATAAGACCCCAGAACCCACACAGGGGGCACTAGAATAGTGTTATATCTTGCTTTTACATACTATAATGTAATACCATCTTCTTTTTCTGTGTTTTTCTTTAAACGGGCACAAACAGCTTTTGTCTGACTTTTTTTTTTCAGCACCACACTTTTATATCAGCAATAACTAATTCCCTAAGTGTTTTATAGAACAAAATAAAACAAATGAACAAGTACTAATTCACACAAATTGACTACAAAAAATCATATAAGGCAACCGTGACACTTTCACCACAGCAGCAGAAACAAATGGAGCAAAGGCGGTGCTGTGTCTCTAGTAACTTACTCTCCCTGGCAACTTACTATCCTCAGTAACCTACTGACGATCCCTAGTACCTGACTGTCCTAGTAACTGACTGTCTTAGTAACTGAATGTCGCTAGTAACTTACTGACTGTTCCTAGAACTTTATTGACTGTTCCTAGTGACTTACTGACTATCCCTAATAACTTACTGTCCTAGTAAATTACTGTCCATAATAACTTACTGATTAACTTACTTTCCCTAGTAACTTACTGTCTGTGGTAACTTACTGACTTTTCCTAGTAACTTAGTATCCCTAGTAACGTACTGACTGCTCATAGTAATTTACCATCACCCAGTAACTTACTGACTGTCCTAGCAACTGATTGTCTCTCTTATCACGTGTTCGTCATCCCAAGTAACTTACTAACTTACTAACAGTAACTTAATGTAACTTGCTCCAATGTACTGTCACTTTCTTCTTGCAGGTGTTATGCTGGGAATTGTTATCCTCAAGAATATCAACAGACTGACATGGGAAAGAACTCTCGGCTGGGTGACACTAGCAGTGTATCTCGCCTTCGTTGCCTTTTGTTGTTTGTTCAATGCCTTTTATCAGGGCTACCCACCAACAGATTGGAAAGGATATTAGAGAAGTGTTAGATTTAGTTTATTTAGGGGTTTATACAACAGTATGTTTTCTATATTTTTGTTACACTGTGTCAGGTTTTGAGTGAGTGTGTGTGCGTGCGTTTGTGTTATGAGAATTGAACAGAACAAAAATATGTTTACTACAATAAGTAAGTAACTGACCTTTTTATGTCTCTTAGTACCAATCAGTAATTACGTTAACCCTTATTTTCTGATACTTTTTAGTTTAAACAGTAAGCATGTGAGTTCAGTGAGGTTAAAGTAACCAGACTTTTGTTTAGAAGGAATTTAACATTTTGGAAAGAATAACTTAATGTAACAAGGAGCTGTGATAAAAGAGAGTCAAAAGAGTATACTCTGTTTGGATTAACTAAGGAAGGTAATATAGTGGATTGCATGTTTGCCCACTTAAGAGAGAATGCCTTGTGATGCCATCCCATACAAGACATAAAATAAAAGAGAAGAAGGATGTAGAGCACAAGGTAGACCAAGAACAAAATGGAAAGATCACATTAGGGAAACTCTACAACAGCATGATAGGGAAGTGGTTGAGGTAGCTAGAAGAGCAAGCAGCAGAACCTTATATCTCCCTCGATACCTAAGGTGGTAAAAGGGGAAGTGAAGAAGAAGTACCTTACGTGGTAGAAAAAGATTAAAACAATTGATGCCTCAGTCATATTATGCTAGAACTATATTTTTATAGCCCTTAGTGAGTCTGAATGGATGGAATAGATACATAAATCAGTTAAACATGTATGCAAACATTTATGTTGAAGATAAGATGTTTACAAACATTTATGTTGCAGATAACACCTTTACAAACAGTTATCATCATTGTAAACATTTATGTTTAAGATATCTTAACCAAACATTAATGTTAAAGATAAGTATAAATCAGTGCATCTTTCTTACAAATATTTATGTTTGCTCCTTTAAGAATGTTTCTGGAATGTTTATTAATGGCATATCTCTTTGAGCACATTTCTGTATCTTACACATGTTTGCCATAAACTAAACATTGTTTTATGTTAAGAAACATTTTGTTAACAATCAGAATACAGTAGCAATCAGAATACAGTATTTCACCATTTTAGATAAAAAATGTTGTTTTAAGAAAAATATGATCGTTTTTATTATAGCTATCTTTGGAAATTAATTTATTGCATATTTTGGTTTTTAAGTTCATTTTATGGAGATGTTTTTTTTTTTTTATGTTTCTATTAAGCACTTCACAGGGCAAGTCTATTTAAGATTTAGTGATTGTTAAATATATTAGATTGTCATTACAAATTAAATAGTATATAAGTTCTTGAATTTTAAGTTTATAAATGTAGACACTTCTAAAGTCTTCTTCTTCTTCTTTTCCTTCTTCTACTTTTTCTTCTTCTCTTTGTCTGTCTCTCTCTCTTTCTCTATCATCATTCTCTCTGTCTACACCTTTTTTAATATATATTTAAACACCCCACAATATTTTCTATTCACAACAGTCAACTTAAAAAAAAAAACTTTGTTGATTATGTGTAATTGCTAATGCCTTAATCCAAGGTACAAACATGTTGATCTTTTTTTTTTTTTGCCATTGTTCAAGTAACTCCGCTGGCATTTTAATGTATTTACAATTATGTAGCTCAATCAACTCAAGTGTAATAATTTGGGTACTTTTCATGTATTTCAACTCAGTTATTTTCTTGCCAATTTTTTTTTTTCAAACTTCAGGTGTTTTTTTTATTTTAATGAAAATTTAAGTTAGCATAATGTTTAGTTTTCAAATGTATGTTTTTTACATTGTTTAATTCTGCAGTAAGTACTACTGTGTTTCCCCCCAAAATAAGACAAGGCCTTATATTAATTTGTGCCCCCCCCCCCCCCCCCCCCCCCTCTTTCCTCCAATAATGGACTCATTTTTTTAATCCACATCCCAGATTCTGACCTGAATTACTTGCGACTCCATTTCCTGTAGAGCCGTTGGCTCCAGTCTCTCATGCCCAGTTTTCTTTTAATGAGCATTTCTTGTCCATGTAGCCTGCTCTTTGTGCACTGATATCACAGTTGTCAGTGATTTCATCCCACAAGATCTTCAGCCAAGTCACCACTCCGTTTGACCATTAAGGAAGTCTCTCATTCTAACTAATGATCTAACTAGGCATTTATTTGGGGGGGGGGGGGGGATGTGTCTTATTGTTGGGAAAACACAGTATTAATGTTCCCATGACATAAGTTTTTTAGCATTTGTTTTCCACAGTGTATGCCAGTTGACTTTTTCATTTGTCCACGTGATCTCATTTTAATTAATTTTTATATATTTTAATATGATATGTCGGCTCTTCTCCGATTAACGGTTTCAAATTATCAAGGCTAAGAAAATACCCTAACAGGGCCTCAGTCATATGTAAATTGCAGACTCCTTTCCGGCGAGTACACCGCGGCAAAAGTAGGAATAATTTTCGGCGATAATTTTGCAAAATGCAAAAATTATCACGGAATTATCACTATGGCAGACCATCAGCTCCGACGCTGGGTTCTAGGTTTAATTTCTCCCCTGAGTCCTAGGTTTAATTTATTCCCTGGTTCCTAGTTTTAATTTCTCCCCTGGGTCCTAGGTTTAATTTCTCCCCTGGGTCCTAGGTTTAATTTCTAACCTGGGTCCTAGGTTTAATTTCTCCCCTGAGTCCTAGGTTTAACTTCTCCCCTGGGTCCTAGGTTTTTCTAACCTGGGTCCTAGGTTTAATTTCTCCCCTGGCTCCTAGGTTTTTCTAACCTGGGTCCTAGGTTTTTCTAACCTGGGTCCTAGGTTTTTCTAACCTGGGTCCTAGGTTTAACTTCTCCCCTGAGTCCTAGGTTTAATTTCTCCCCTGGGTCCTAGGTTTAATTTCTCCCCTGAGTCCTAGGTTTAACTTCTCCCCTGGGTCCTAGATTTTACTTCTCCCCTGAGTTCTAAATTTAACTTCTCCCCTGGGTCCTAGGTTTAACTTCTCCCCTGAGTCCTAGATTTAACTTCTACCCTGGGTCCTAGGTTTAGGGTTAGGGCAACGAGTATTAAAACTGCGGCACCGCCAACAGAATCTATCACAACTGTCCAACTGTGACACTAACAATTCTGCATGCAGCTGACACAAGCACAACTTTACGAAGGTGGAACTAGTCACTCGATTCGCCGTCCACCTCTGGTGTATTCACCGGAAAGAAATCCTAATTTCACACACCACTGAGGTCCTGTTAGGGTATTTTCCTAACCTCATTAATTTAGGAACGTTATATAGAGGAGAGCCAATATGTCTAATAATTTGATAACAGTTTTTTTTAATATTTTCTGGTTACTGAAATAAAGTTTGAATATGTTGATTTTCTGTTATTGTTTTTTCACTTATTTTTTATTTGATCTTTCTCCTTTGTGTTTACAAATTATTGCTACCTAATCTCAACACATCGTAAGACCTTGTTTTCATGTAGTTAATTTTTTGGAATACTTTTTTTTTTTATTCATATCTTGCCTTGGTGGATGCTAGTTCTCATCTCTGAATGGAGAACTGGTAGTTAATCTACTCATGTATTCTAATTTTTTTACTAATTCTTTTTTAAAACATTTATATCGTTTTTTATGATTTTACAACAAATGGTCATGTGGCTTGGATTAATCATCAATACTGAGTTATATTTCATGTTTTTGACATATCCTCTCAATGTAGATTTTTAAAATATTTTATTTCGTATCAAGTGTATCTCATATGTATCCTACATTTTCAAGATAGTTCAAACAGGAAACTTGGGTGTATATCATTAATATTTTACCTATACAATTTCAAATTGAGTAGTAGTATCCTAAATGAATGGATAGAAAATGTTACTAAGACAATGGTGAAAGAAAAGACATACGGATATGGAGAGAGATTAATTTTCACTTGGAGTTTTATGCCTTGTCTTCAGCTGAGTCATCTTGTTGTTATATTTGTTGAAAAAGACTTTGGTCGAAACATCTGCTTATTGTAAAAGTTACTTTTATTTTGCTGAATTGTCTAGATAAATGTTTTTTGTTTAATGATTCTTAAGTATATGAACTGTTGCACATAGATAGCATTTTACCTGCATAGACTATCTAGGGGGGGGGGGGGGGGAGTGTCAGTTAAGGAAGGTTTTGTGTTGTGTGTATTACTAGTTCATTATTTCATTAATCAACCAGGTGCCTTCTCCACAATAAAGGTTGGCTGCAACTAATCTATAGCACACTCTTGTCTTGACAGTACACTCTCTTAGACTGTTGTTCACCCATCTCTTGTTTTTGTCAACCAAATTGTATCATTGTCTACCTCTTGCTTTTGACCTCCTCCCTAGTATGGTTTTTAAAAGACTGTTATGTCTTTTAATGTGGCCGAAATATTTTCTGTTGTCCTTGTCCAATTACTTTGTGTGTGAAATGTGGTTGTTTGTCTACTATATAGCTGATACTTATGTAATTTGTGTATTTCTGTTCAGTGGGTTATTTCTATGAGTTTCAGATATATTTTTTAAGATATTTGTTCTTCTTCTTACCATTTGTCGGCTGTAAACTCCGGTAGAAAGGTTTGGCTGCTCATCCACTCCAAATTTTGATCTTAATCCAGAACTGGATGTTTACGGATCTGGCTTATGGAGACTGTTGGTTCATTGCCTGTTAGGCAAACCAACTACGACTTTGAATGAAACACCCGTAATTATTGGCCTCCTGTAACATGTGGAGGGGGTAGGGGGCAGTGGATCTGTTTTTTTTTTCTCTCTCCAAAATGAAGCCCTGGTACTCACACGGGGGAGTAGATATTTCTTCCAAAATCTGATAACAACGTAGTCTTGATTGTCAGAATGTTCATTAATATGAGTTTATGTGTTGATGTTCTCAGTGTTTTCAATAATGTCATTATGTGTGACAAACCTGAATAATGCATCAGCTGTGTTCATGCATATATGTGTTTTCAAAATAAACAGTTACTTTTAACCTTTTCAGTAGCAAACAACTCAACATGTGTTGAC